GGGTCGAAGACTGGGGTTGAGTCTTGGGGGCTCACGCGGCGTTCGAGAGGCTGAGTGACACGTTATGTCTACTCCACTCTAGGGGGCTGGGATGACTTGCAACCGCGTCTCCTTGCCAATACATTAAAGATCCAAGCACGCTATTCCGCGATTCTCTAAAAAAATATTCAAGGTGGCCATGGAGTAAGGATATCCAAATTTCAATTAATCCATCGATTGACATAATCTTCCCAATGCCCCCTCATCAATGTTCCCCTCCTGGTATTTACTTCAACGCCACCACTCTTCCCTCCACCTCACTCCTGACCACCGCCTCCAGCACTCTAACCACATCCGCCGCCTCCTCGGGCTTAACCTTTAGCTTTTCCCTCCCCTCCTCAATCGCCGTAGCCAAATTCTCAAAGAACCCCCTATAGAACCCCCTCTTACTCTCCACCTTCTCACTCCCCTCCGGCCTCGTCAAAATCCCCCACATCTCCTCTGTCTCTCTTCCAAACGCCTGATCCTCCACCCTAACTCCGGCCTTCGTCTGATCCTCCTGTAAATCCAGCCCATATTTCACCCAGCCCGCTTCGGTTCCTCTTACAATAAACCTAACCTGCTTTTCACACAAACTAGTTTGAGAAGCCGAAACCTTCACCACCATCCCCCTCTTCGGGATCACAATGCCACCCTTTGAAGAATCAAGGGGTTTATCATAATACAAAACCGCATCAAAAGCATCATCAATAAACCCCTCCTGACCTGGCTTTGCATCAAGATCCTGTGAATTTCCTCGCTCATCACGAACATTGCCGTAGATGCGATCAGGTAGACCAAAGAGAGTGAGAACTTGGTCAACAAGATGAGCTCCAAGGTCGAAGAGGACTCCGTTTCCTGGCTGTGGGGCGGTTTTCCAGGATTCTTTGCGGGAGGAGGGGGATTTGTAACGGTCGAAATGGGATTCTAGGGAAACGATTTCTCCTAGCTTCTTTTGAGATAGTAGGGTTTGGAGAGTTAGGAAATCTGCATCCCAACGACGGTCTGTTGATAGAAGTCAGCTCCAGTTCTATTTTAACCCTCATTACCCGCCGTTATGAGGGGAATAGTAAATACATACTCTGGAAAACCGTCAAAACGTGATTCTTCTCTCTAGCGAGTTGGCACAACTCATCCGCCTCCTCAGCTTTAACAGTAAAAGGCTTCTCAACTACCACGTCTTTACCAGCTTCCAATAACTGCTTTGTGATGCTGTAATGAACCGAGTTTGCTACGCTAACAATAACCAATTGGATCTCGGGGTCGGCGCAGACATCGTTGATGTTGTTGTAGACTTTTACTCCGGGGTGGTCTTGGGCTGCGTTGTTGTCGGCGGTGGGGGTACGTTGGAGGATACTGTGGAGATGGAATTGCGGGAGGAGTTGGATGTAGGGGATCTGGAAGGTCCGCGCAGAGAGCCCGTAGCCGAGGATGCAGGTGTTGATGGGCATTGCGAAGCTGGCGAAGCAGGTGAAGCAGGTGAAGCTTGAGCTGATTGTTGGTGAGTGGTGATTGAAGGTTTACGAGCTGGAGACTGGAGGTTGCTGAGTAACGGAGGTAGATTTTATGGGATTGGAGAAGAGGGCAGCCGCGAAGATATATAAGAGGTGGTTCGGTATGTAGGTGGTGGGGTACAGGTTAGGGTTCCCCTTACAACCAGATGATCCGAAGTCGGAGGTCGCGTCAGCACGTCTCGGATCTCCCCTAGCTGCGGCCCAGCTGCGGGGTTGCCACGAGGTTCGGCGGGTTGTGCGGGGTTATTAATAGCTACGGGAGCCTTATCTTTTCGGCGGTCTTCACCTTAGGGAAAGCTTGTCGTAGTTGGTGCCGTAGTAGCAGCATAGGGGATACGAGGTGATGAGTCGACCGTGCCGAAATTTTGTGGGTGGCTTGATGAAACTCAAGAAGAGATGAGGGATTTGCGAATATGAATACGGATACCCCGAACCGGGAGGTGATGTTGCAACTTGCAAGCACGCACGTCATAGAATATCGATTGGAAATCAACATTGACTTACATCACGCTCAATTCAAGAATAGGGCTGGACCTGTTTTTTACACGCTCTTTTACACGCTCTTTTACACGCTCGATACGCGCGTTTCTGATGGCTTTGCCTGTTTTTTACATTACGCTCAATCCAGGAATAGGGCTGGACCTGTTCTTTACACGCTCTGCCTGGGGCTGGATGATACGCGCGCTTGTGATGGCACCGATGGCTTTGGGATATAAGGGCTGACGACGTTAACTTGGAGGAAGCAACATTCCAACCATAGTATGTCGGCAACGAAAATTAAACGAAACGAGAGAAAACGCCGCCTAAGAAGTTCCAACGGGATACTCAAGAAGGCAGGAGAGCTCAAAGGATGCGGCGTCCGCATTTATATCGCCATGCAAGACGAAACGAATGGCCATTTCACTATATATAATTCAGAGAATTCAACTGGTGACTCATCATGGCCTCCTGCGCCCGAAGACATCGTATGTGCCACTCGTATTACTGCTCGTTTTTGTTTTAACATTCCCAACCAGAACAAAACTTACCCACCACCGAAATTTGTGGTACCACAGCTTCCACCAATTCTTGAGATCCACTCCGCCGGAGGCCGAGATACGGAATTTGTGGTACGACAACCACCGGTTCTTGAGATCCACTCCGCCGGAGGCCGAGATACGGAATTTGTGGTACGACAACCACCGGTTCTTGAGATCCACTCCGCCGGAGGCCGAGATACGGAATTTGAGGTACTACAACCACCGATTCTTCAACCACCGATTCTTAAGATGGCAGCAGTATATAGAGGGGGCTTTTTTACAGGAGGCTTTTTAGAGGAGGCTTTTTAATACGCTTAGTCACAAAACACTTGGTATTCTTAGCCGGTATTTTTCTCCTTGTAGTTACATACAGTTATCTTTCTCTTCTTCGCTCAGTGCAAGCTCAATTGTTTTTTTTCTTCTTCGCTCAGCTCTCTATTAATGGAAATTTGACTCCGTAGGCCGTGCTTATCTATGTACAGCGACAGAAAACGCTACGAAGATTAGCCATAAGTGTAAAAGGGCAAGGGTGGAAGATACCTACTTCCGGATCACTGTCCTTCCCAAATTCTTTTCGAATCTGCCCCATCATGTCGTAAACACTGTATATGGTCTTCCCGAGAAGTAGAGCTATCGGTTCCATTGTAACACCTTTCACGAGGTAAAACAATAAATTTGCGGTTTCTTCCGTGCTCCACGTCATGATATGATTACACGTACATTGTGCTGGGTCTTTTGCACCTTTATATAACACGTTACACCATAAAAAGTATTTCTATGCACCCTCAACTCCTCCAACAACGTGGCCACTTGCTTTTCTGGTCCTCTGCTCGTTCCACTTCTTCAACAACGTGGCAACGTGCTCCATCCATGAATTCGTCTTTTGAAGGTTTTCGAACATTTCTAACAGAGGGGAGTTTTAAGTGGTTTGGCTCGCTAAGCGGGTCCGTAGGGCTGGAATGACGTCGCCCGGAGCAGGAAGCGTTCCAAACGGTTTTACTAAGCGAATACCATCGCCGCTTAACCTCGCCTTTCACCATTGACTCCCAAACCGCCAACCGAGTAGCACCCTTCAAACCTTCTCCGCCACCTCCGTCACCGGTAAACCAAAAATCCTCACCCCCTTCAAAACTTTCACGATACTCAAAACAACCGTCTGCTGTTCATTCGGCCAGGGACCCATGATGATTCATCGTAACCTCTTTCCAAATACCCCATTCCCCATTCGAAATCTTCTTCTCTGGCGCCACATTACTCGCCCTGATTTCTTCGCAGACATGACCGTCCCCTCTTTCTTCTTATTCACCATTTCCTCCTCCCTCGCCCCCTTCGCCTCCTGAACCTCCTTATTCGTTTCGTTGACTTACTCACCAATTTACCTCGATACTCCAATGACACAGCTCAAGCTGCCGCTTTTTTTTTAACACACTTTGATACAGATACGACCCCGCACCATCAGCACTACTCGGTATCTAGTGGCAGATATTCTCTGCGCAGTTTATGATTGAGAAAAGAGGTTTGAAGGGTAAAGAATAGATGGGTTGGATGGTACTCGAGCATGTGTTATACACGATTCACGAGGAGGTGGGGTATTATCCAACGTTGAAAGAGGAACCTGATTTAGGAACAGACGGTGTTAAGAGTTATCTAGAGTAAGCTAAAGTATATACTGCATTCTCGATCATCACCAAAGAAATCGTCAAGACCTTCTCCCCCGACCGACCCGAAGACCGCAATTTCCTCTCCGAATACCTTTTATTCAAAGGCTTCACCGGTAAAATCATCCCCCAGCTTTCCGACGATAAGCACACCATCTTCTGCCACCTCGCCGGCTTACAGGAGCTTACCTCTGCCTATGGCCAAGACTCCAAGCAGGCCCTCTTAGCCCACAGCCTCTAAGAAGCTCTCCTCCAGAAGCTCGCCGGTGGTAGCATCAAAACCACCCTCCTCCTACTAACCCCCGGAGTTTCCGGCAAAGCTGCCTTCATTGTCCAGCCCCACCGTAAGCGGGCCCTCGAGGCTGTTTCCTCGGGTGTTCCTGAGGTTCAAAAGAAGCCCCCCACCACTCCAAGCCTGTTCCATCGGAAAAGGAACTCGTTACAAGAAGTGCTACAACAACGAGGAGTCCTATAACAACTCTACTGCTTCTTGCAGCGGACACAGAAAGTGCAGAAAGTCTGGAAAGGAGTGCTGGAGTTACTGTGCTTCAAAGTGATAAGCAGCATAAGTCTACTACTTATTAGGCTAGATAGGCTTGCTGGAAGAAGGGTATTAACGTGCCTTTTAACTTGTTCCTTAGACGGAGTTGCCGAGTCGAGCCCCTATTACTGTAGAGTATCGCCACGCTGCCGACTAAGCAAAGTATCTACTTGATTTCGACAAAAAAGTTGAATTCGCCAGCTTCGCCTTGTGAGAGGCTTCCATTCCAGAACAAAAGCAAAATATGATATTCCGATACCGGGAATCGAACCCGGGTCTAGTCGGCACTCCTGAATGAAAGCGACCAATGCTAACCCCTACACCATATCGGATGTTGTATGAGAGGAGCTTAAGGTAAATTTACATATACCTCCAGCGGCTTAGCAGGTGGATCACAGAATATCACTAGGTTTTTCCTCCATGTATATATATGTAGAATTCCTGTATCTAATTAATAGAACATGCATGCAGCCACACTTAGTTTAGGAACCTCAACTGATAGTTATCCTGCTAGGTTGCCTTCGCCAAAATCCCCTCCCTCTTCTGGTGGTGTTGGTGAAGATGGATTCCTGAATCCTGATCATTCGTACTCCTCGTCCCTCGCACAATATCCTTAACTAAATCTCGTGACGGTCACTTGCTCCTGAATCACGTTTCATGATTTTACATTCATCATTCCTCATACCCACTTCCAAGAGTCCATAATTCGAATTTCGCAGTAGTGATATCTCTTTGTAAACATCTAGATAGCAAGTTCCAAACTCACTTCGTTACACTCCTACACGTACAACAATCCCCCCGACATCCCACATCTCATCATAATCATCGACCCACTCACTTCACCCATTGGCCCAATTAGCCCAATCCATTCCATTCCACAAACCTCCCAAAATAAACCTTCAGCTGGGGAAATACAACATGAAAAAAAGAAGAAAAACTTGAAAGAACACTAGAGACAAGAGTGAAATTTTCGCAAAAAAAAAGATAAAGCAAAAAAAACAAAACCCAACAAAAAAAAAAAAAATAACTTCATTAACCGCCATTCGGCCTCGCAAAGTAGACACCGCAACTACTGCTGGTCCACATATTGCTTCAAATCGAGCCTGTTGAAATCCATTAGCATCTGTACATCCCTCCTATCACGCGTTAAAAAAGACAAAGGCAACTTACGTCAAGCTCTTCGACGAGCACTCAACCTGATCCCTATAAATTCCCACCAGTGCATCCGACTGCTGAAACAACTTCGCCTTCAACGAGATAACAATAAACTGGAACCCAGGCCCAGAGTGACTTCTAATATAATTAGAAATCTTCTTAACATTAGTGTTATCCAACGCAGCATCGACCTCATCCAAAACAAAGAATGGCGATGGCTGGTAGGAGTGAACCGCAAACAGCAGTGCCAGAGCCGCCATTGTCTTCTCTCCTCCTGAAAGGTGCTCCATATCTCTGAATCGTTTCAAAGGAGGCATAGCGTGATACTTGATTCCTCCATTGACGGGTTCATTAGGATCTTCCAAATCCAAGTAAGCGGTACCACCGAGAGGGAAGGCTTCGGATTTGGTGAGGTCTTTATAAACCACCGAAATCTCCTCAGAAATATGCGCGAAAGCTTTGTTAAACAACTCAAATCTCTTCTCCCTAATGGCTGCGAAAGCCTCTTTTGCGTTCTTGGCCGCTTTTCTGGAGTCTTCAAACTCCCTCTCAGTTTCATGAAGCCTAGATTCAACACCCTCTAAACGCTCGATGGCTTTCATGTTGGGAGCCATCCTCTCTAACTCGCCAGATAAGGTTTTCATCTTTTCTAACAACTCCTCTTCAACCTTGTCATCGTCGGTTTCTTGGAGGTCTTCGGGAAGCTCGGAAAAGTCAACTTCGATACCGTAGTCCTGGAGAGCAACGTCGTTGGCTAAAGCGTCGTCGTCTTCGTCGTCGTCTACGTCCATGGCGTCGGGGTCTCGGGTTAGTTGGTCTTCGATGGGGAGACGGTCGATGGGTTCCGAGTCAATGGTTAGGGGGAGCTTGATTTCTTCGAGTTTGCAGCGGCGGAGAACGGCGTAGCGACCGGCGGCGTTGCGTTCAATTTCTGATTCCTGTTGTTCTGTTAATGCCACTCCAAAAAATCGGAGTAAAAAGGGACTTACCAAAGCGGCGATGGTTTTATTAGTTTCCTCCAGGGAACCAAATCGCTTGGAAACATCAATTTTCAATTCCGCGACACGTTGAGCCCTACGTTCAAGCTCAGTCCTCTTTCCCTCAAGAGCTTCACGCATCATCTCTAGCTCAGATTGGATATTGTCCATCTCCTCTGAAATTCCCGCCTTTTGCTGCTCAAGCTCCTCTACCATCATACGATCCCTCTCTGTAAGCTGTTCAAGCTTTGTAATACGCTCCTTGGTATCCTTCAGTCTTCCCTTCTCGAAAGACAACTGGGAGTTAAGCTTAGAAATCTGCGTAGTAAACTCCAACCGCTTCTGCTGGGCCTCCTGCTGAAGCGAACCCTGCTGTTTCTCATAAGTGCGGATGTTGTCGAATCCCAATCTGCTGCAGAAGGAGGAGAAGATATTATCTTCCGCCGACGAAACTACAGCTTCTAGGGATGCAAGCTTTGTCTTCAAAGCGTCGAGAGAGGTAGTAGCTTCCCTAAGCTTCGGCTCAAGCTCGGAGAGGGCTTTTTGGTTGTGGACTACCTCGCGCTGTTTTCCGGTTAAAGTGCGCTCCAAGTGGCCCAGCTCGTCGCGGTGGTAAGAAAGACGCTGCTCCAATCCGGTGAGTTCACCCTGTAAAGCCTCCTCTTGAGGACCACGGCGGTTCTTGGGCAAAGCAGCAATTTGAGCAAGCAAGCTGTCACGAAGACGCTTAACCTGCTCAACCTCCTGATCCTCCCAACGGCGTCCACGGGAATCACCAACACGACCTCCAGTCATAAGTCCAGATTTGTGGATAACGGTTCCATCCAAAGTAACGGCCTTAACCTGAAGTCCTTTTTCGAAACAGATGTATTTCGCAACCTGAAGGTCATCACAGACAACAGCGTTACCACAGGCGTAAAGCATGGCTCCTTCCACAGAGTTGTCGAATTCGATAGTGTCGATAGCCATACGCATTCCGCGGTGCATACCCTTCAAGTTGGAGTTAAGGGCTTTGACTTGGATATTCTCCAATGGGAGGAAGGTGACGATTCCAAGTTTTTGCTCCTTGAGGTATCCGATACAGTCTGTAGCCGTCTTTTCCGAATCGACAACAACGGCGTCAAAGTGGCGACCAAGGACAGTAGAAACGGCCTCGGAGTATTTCTTCATTTTAGGCTTACAAAGTTCCGAAACACGACCCTTGACACCGGGGAAGATTCGCTTTAAGGAGACGGTGATTTCTTTCACCCGGATTTCGCGCTCTGATTGTCTGCGTCCATCGTCGGCTTCGCTGAGTTTGATGAGACAATCCCTCAGCTTTCCGTTAAGCTCTTCATGCTTCTGTGCGTTCCTAACACGTTCAGAGGTGAGGGTATTGTATTCCTTTTTCTTCGCATCGATTTCCTGGGCGATTTGATGGATGGTTGCTTTCATTTCCTCGCGTCGGCTGTTGAGATCTGCAACTTCGGATTCAAGCTTTTGAAGGATCCATCTTGCGTTTTCAACCTTGGAGCTAAGAGAGGTAACGACTTCGGAGTCCGTTTTAATGTCGCGGGCATAGTTGTCGATATTGATTTGTTCTCCGGCAACCCTGGTGCTTACTTGTTCCTTCAGCTTATTATATTCCGCCAAATCCGCTTCCGAGAGAGCAATTCCGGTTTCTTCAAGTGCCTTCTTCTGCTCCGCCTCAAACTTGGTCTGTGCCTTTCTCACAGACGCGAGGTCCTTTTCCAAGCTCTGAACAGTAGCTGTCTGATTATCCTGATCCCTCTTGATTTCCCTGACTCTGGCGGAGTATTTCTTCAAATGCGAAGCTGCGATATTAATTTTCTCATCCACTGGCACCAATCCAGTTTCCTTTTCTTGAAGCTCCTTAACTTTCTCTTTAATCTTCCTTTCGTGCTTGGAAACGCTTTTAGTCGCTTTCGCCTGCTCCGTTCTAGCGTCTTCAAGCTTCTGTGCATACTTTTCATGCGCCCTTCGAAACTCAAGTAACTCATGTTGATGCCTCTCAATCTCCTCCTTATTCCTCTCAATCGTCTGCTGGAAATGGAAAAGCTTCCACAAAATATGCGTAACAATCGCCTCATCCCTCTGCTGCATCTTCTGTTGATACATCTCCGCCTCCTTCTTTTGCTCCTGGTATTGTTTAATTTCCGCATTTATACCTCTTCGTCTGTTGAGGTTGAAAGTACTCGTATCCGCCGCCTTCTCCTGCTCAATCTGCAGCCTTTCATACTCTGCTTTATATTCCAACGATCCAGAGATTTGCTCAATCAGTCTTGTCAAATCCAACGGACTTTGCGACGCAATAGCTTCTACATCTCCCTGAAACACCAAGAAATTTCTAGCCTTAATCAAGATATTTTGATGCTCCAATGCCTTGTTGTATGCAGCTGCTGTGACGGGTTTTTCGTTGATCCGGTATTCGGAACTTCCACTGGCGGTAATGGTGCGCTTCCATCTGTGCTCTACGCCGTCGTCGTCGGTGTAGACGGCCATAACCCAGGCGGTTGTGGGGTCGTCGCGTTGCGTAGACTCATCGGCATCTCCTAAGAGTTTGCGGCCGCGGTAGATGAGCTCGGAAAGGTGTGCGGAACGGAGGTCTTTGGATTTTATTCCGAGCACGAAGGAGATCGCGTCCATGCTGGGTGGGTGTTAGCAGGGGCGCAACAAAGTGAACGAAGTGAACGCAGTAGGGCCTATGGGAAGCTCAAAGATTGAAGCCGAAAGCTCAAGTAATGCGGGGAACGCGAGGGATCGCATGACGACGCACGCACCTGTTACTCTTTCCAGAGCCATTGGGTCCAATAATCGACGTAAAATACGAGTCTCCAAGGTGTATAGTCTGATGTCCTTTATAGGACTTGAAGTCTATTTGTCCCTTTTATTAGCTTTCATTTCCCTCCAAGATCCCTCTCCGAGTGATCGCGCAACGAAGGTCGCTGAGGACATGGTGACGGTGACGTACTGCATAACTCCAACCTCTCAAGCTTCCTATGTTCTCTCCATTAGTTATGTGAATTATTGAAGTCATAAAAGGGATATTAAACTAACCCCATTGTGAGCGCCGATATCAATGAATTCCCGTCGTGATTGGGTAAACGCGTAGACTTCAGAGAGTTATCTAATGGTGGTGCGTGAGGAGGGCGATTACGCGTGCGCCGGGTAATGGGAAGATTACGGAGTTGGAGTTACAG